TATATATAAAAGACAAGTCAATTAAGAAGAAAACAAATAAATAGCATGGCCATATAAATCACCTGGAGAAACATAGGTGTAAGGGTAAAGAATAAAAACTTCCACGGCTAAAAAGACAGCCACTGAGGAAGCTCCAGGGAAACTAAACAGAAGAGGCTAAAACTATAAAACTACAACAAAAACAAAGCCTAACTATTAGGTCAAAGGCAAACTAGGTAATGATTAGCAATGCCAAGAGGGCATTAAATGACAGTAAATGACGGGAAACAAATAAGGTCAATTACATCGCCCAGCTAAAGACACAGTAAATGCTGTTCAAGAAAAACAAAGCTATAAAGAACATATGGATCCATTCTCCAGCAAATGTTTCTAAGAATCTATTATAAGGTGAACATAAAATTAATGGAAAAACAGTTTCATTACGCTTACCCATGGCAAAGCCATCATCAGTAAATGCAGCTCCAATTTTATTTTTTTTATTCAATTTCTCCTTGCAACTAATGGAATGCTCTACAAAGTTGAGAGTCTAAAAGATATAACAAGATATTAGAAAAACAATTATGTTAAGAAAATCTTTAGAATTTAGTTCCTAAAATAGATATTTCAAAAATTATAAATAGAATATCTTCTAACTTCCTGGTCTTTTCATCTGAAACATTTGCCTCAAGTTGTCTTTTTGAGTACAAGTGTACCTTAACTCATTCGTAAGTGTATCTTAACTCACTGAGCACAAATGTATCTTAACTCATTGAGTACAAGTGTATCTTAACTCATTCGTAAGATAAGTGTATCTTAACTCATTCGTGACCGCTGACATGAATTTGGCTCATCATAGAAGACTGTCTTTTCAGGCTTATAATCCAAATAAAAACACAAAGTACAGAATGCTAGTCACAGTGGTGTCTGAGGCAAATACTGGGTATGTCTACAACTTTCAGTTGTATTGTTAAAAAGGTGACAATTTAGAAAAGACCATTTCACTTGTGCTTAACGATAGAAGTTTGAGGCAACCAGCTTCAGATTTTTTTTTTCACCTGCTCTCAGTATAAAGAAAGTGAAACATTTGCCTGTCACAAATGTATTAATGGCTCTTTTTTCCAAGTCCTTTAAACATGAGCCCTCTGTCAATCACTGCTTAATCCAAGCACAGTACCTTGTGTGTGGTTCGTTGTGAACTATTATGCACATTTTAGAGATGAGGACACTGAGGTCTGAGAGAATTACATCTTGGGCAAAGTTATATACAACGAACACTGCAGTCAGAAAAGCAGGCCCGCTTGACTTCAAAGCACTCTTAAACACATGCAAGGCAGTCTTTACTCCAACTCACCCAATTCTTTCTAAAATAATTCTTATTGTGTTTTTGGTTAAAAATTATTAGTAGTCCATTGCTAACATGTGGACTCCTCAAAACATTACCTCCCTTGAAAAGTCAGCTCTTCTAAAATACTTTCATATCCTGTATTCCAAGACTTATTGAAGCTTACTATATACCAGGCATTATAAAGTTCTTAAGACAAAAAACAATGACTATCAGCTAGAAGTCACACCCTCGAGCAACTCGCTGGCTATGAGAAATGTTATATCTGCCATTAGTCACATGTCACCATGAAGAACGTGAAATGAAGCTAGGACGCGGAGGAACTGAATTTTTTATTTTATAAAATTTTAATTAATTTAAATGTAAGTAGTCACATGTGGCTACACACGAACGGCACAGCTCAGAGGGATAAAGAAAGAACTACATTAAAAATTATAACATAGTATGGCATCGCCTACACTGGAAACAAAACATCAAGTTTCACTTTTTGGTCTGTGAAACCTATTTGGCAATTAATCTCATATTTGTGAAATCTCTGCCAACGGGTATTTAAATCTTTTTTAGACATTTCATTTTTGTCTTTTTTTCTGGAACGAGAGCATAAGAATAGTATACTATACTTCCTGGTAATGCTCGCAGTATGTATATTGTTTTTTCCAATACTAAGTGAATTCTGACAGCTGCCCCATAAAACAACAGGCTCTTCCTAAGCTCACCAATGGTTTCACTGCTGTTTACTATGGTTTGAGTATATTGCGCCCTTCAAGTTAAAGAAATATGGTAAGAACTCAACCTAAGTTAACTACGGCATTATCAAATAAGAACGCTCACCTTTAGTCTGACACTACCTTAAGATGAAAAGATACCTCTCAAACGACAATGGACATTTTTGCTATATCATAGTTAAAGTGTAATTATGAGAGAGCACTAACGATACAGAAAAGAAGCAAAACCCATACAACAAAGCTGTCTGTAGACCATCAGCTGCTTTCAATAGGCAGTAAAAGCTCACTGTGTAAGAAGATCGATGTCAACAATTAGGCAGCACCAGAAAAAGTTGTCAGTCTTGGTGAAAATTAGATGCGATACAAAGTTACATCTCCTTGGTGATAGACGCCAGAGCTATACACATGCAATTTCACTTTTAAAAATTACAGAGCCTTTAGGGAAAAATAACTCTCATTACTAATATATACCTCTCTAAACTCTTAATTCCATTTTCCCCAAAGGAACAATTATTTTACAATGCAGTTTTTGGTAATTTGAGCTATTTTTAGAAAGCAACTACAGAATTAGAGAACATATTAAACACCATAAAGAAAATGTACTAAAAATTAGTCTACATGTTAGTATTTACTGAATAGAGGTTATTCTCAAACAATATGCTTTAAGAAGTATGTTAGAAAAAAACAAAGTTAGTCTACATAAAGCACTTAGGATGATTATACGATGTAGTTCCACCCAAAGACTCTAATGGCACACCCGTGATGACATACACTCAAGTAATTTAAAAAATTCTAGGATTTCTCTGGTAGTCACTAACAGTAAGAATCTATCTTAATTTTGGGGTGTTTTTGTTTTTTGTTTTTTGAGTTGGAGTCTCACTCTGTCGTCCAGACTGGAGTGCAGTGGCCGCTCCAGGCCCCCGCAGCCTCGACCTGCTGGGCTCCGGCGATCCTTCCGCCTCAGCCTTCCGAGTAGCCGGAATCACAGGCATGTGCTACCACACCCGGCTGATCTTTTGATTTATTGTAGAGATGAGGTCTCGCTGCCCAGGCGGGTCTCGAACCCGCGGGCTCAGGCAATTCACTCACCTCAGCCTCCCAAAGGCGCGGGATTACAGGCTGAGCCACCAAGCCCGGCTATCTTAATTATAAGTAAGTCTCCCTCAGCATAACTAATAAGTAAAAATCTAGGTCATGTTCAGTGAGATCACAGTTAGTTCTATGTACAACCAGAAAGTCAGTAATATAGTCTATATGCATTTCGTGGTACAAAGAAACCATATCCATATTTATTAACACTCTTTTTAAAAAGTCATGTTAGGCTCTGAAAATACTCACCAGAGGGGGGACAATGATATAGAAATTTCGAAGATGTATATTCTTTGGCCTTCGAAATTCTGGAGCAAAAACATCCACAAGCATTTTGAAATATTCTGTGCCTTCGGCAGAATTTCGTGTGTGATCACTGAGGACTGAATCCAAATGCCTAAAAGCAAAATATCATTTACATAGTTCCTTTCTCAAACAAAGATGTGGCCTTTTAAAAACCTCTCTCTCATTACTTTAGATAAGAGCACTCAAAATACAGGAAACATTGCAAGATATTTCTAAGTAAACTTCCTTGGAGTTCAGAATGAATTCATTTTTTTATGGACAGAAACTTACCAATACTAGTTCATTAAGTACCTCAAGTAGAATACAGAGAGCATCTTGGAACTTAAAGTAATAGTTCTGTGCTTCTTCTTCCTACAATGAGGCCTACAGAACCCCATTTCATGAGAAATAAAGTCCTCTTCATCTTAAATCTCTAATGCTTCTCCTACATCTCCTTACCTCAACTTAAACCTGGCATCTTCCAAGATCTTAGCTTCCCTCTCAACATTTAGAAACATTAGCTGCTCTTACTCCTGTATCCTTCATATATAGCCACTATCACATTCAAATGATTCCCACTCTAGCAATGGAATGTATAAATCGTCATCCCATCCAAAGCCCATCTATCCAACTACTGCTTCCTGAAAGCAGGCATCTACGAACCTTTCGACCACTGCCTGACATTTATTCTCTAGGATTGGGATGCCTTCTCCAGCTCTCCTCCATCATCTACATGAATAATCTATTTGTTATCATGATCCCACAACTCTCTGACTTCACCTACCATGAACTTCCTTCACTTAATGTCAACCAACCACTTCCTAGCACAAATCTGGACCTTGCAATTAGCAGTAAACTCTACCTTAGAGCTCTTGAAAGACAGTATCTATTCTTCGACTTTCTCAGGCTGCCTCAAAATATTTGAAAAATAATCACCAATTCTGAAGTGAATCACATCATTTAAGAAATGATAAAGGTTCAATTTTCTTCCTTTGGGATATACACCTCGAACTAGTTTGTTTTCAGGCACACAACTTCAAATGGCTAACTCTGAACATGGCTCCTATAATGTGGCAAAAAACTAAATTATCCCATAGGATATTCCAGAGTAGAACTTCTGTGTTGGGACCTTATTCTCAAAATACGCACACATTTTTCAGTATATTTTCCTTTTTGTTTTATTTATTAAAATTTCAACAAGCCTATCCAAAAATTAAAATATAGTCTAAGGAACACCTATACACCCTTTACACCTGTATACCCTTCAACTAGACTTACCATTTGTTAACATTTTGGCACAATTGTTTTCTCTATTTTTCTGAAATATTTGAAAAATTGCGGACCTCATGTTAGTTATCTCATAAGTGCTTTAGCATGAATCTATTGAGAACTAAGACATTCTCCTACAAAGCTACAATATATTATTATACCCCCAAAATAAAATACATTATCTAATATACATTCCATGTTCAAACCTCCCCAAATGTCATTGTAGCTATTATTTTCCTTATCTAACATATGATTAAGGATCACCCACTACACTTGGTTATCAGATCTCTTCATTCTTGTAATCTAGAACTTTTATACCCATGCCATTTGATATTTTTTTAAAGCATTCAGGCCATGTGCTTCACAGAATACTCCACATTCTGGCTTTCTCAGGTTGTTTCCTCACAATAAATTCAGAGTAAACATTTCTGAAAAGAATACAAACAGGATACTTGCCACGACACTGCATAAGGAGGCCACATAATGTCAATGTACCATTCCTAATGATGCTAAGTTTGATTACTTTGTTAAGGTGAAATACGTCTTTCCATTGTAAAAAGAGCTTTTCCCTTTGTGATGAATAGGCAATTTTCATCACATGATTTTTTTTCTTAATAAATCTTCTATTCTCCATGCCCAGCTAAATTTTTTTTTTATTTATTGTAGAGACAAGGTCTCGCCAAGTTGCCCAGGCTGGTCTTGAACCCACGGGCTCAGGCAATTCACTCGCCTCGGCCTCCCAAAGAAATGGAATTACAGGCTGAGCCACTGAGCCCGGTCCCATTTGCCATATTTTAAGTGTTCTATCACCCACACTGGTAGTAGCTACTGTACTGAACATATTTCATGTGCTCCATATTTCATGAAGGTAAGGACTGGCATTCTAGAACAATGTTAGTAAACAGAAGTATTTTAAAAAGTAAAATGAAACAGGTGAAATGAGTTTCATGCATGAGATATGAGGCTTTCCTTTTCTTATCTCAAATCTCCAAGATTAGTTGTGTACTTCACACTTGAGCACATCTCAGTTTGGACCAGCCACAGTTCAAGTACACGTGGCCAGGGGTTGCCATATTGGACAGTGTATTCTACAAGATCCCTTTTTAGTGAGGTTGGAAAAATCTAGACTACCCTAGTCTAATAAAAAAAAGACCTAGTCTAATAAAAAAAAGTGTATTTCATAAACTGCGATTATAATTTGTATAATAAAAACACAGGCAGATAAATTATATATTACTCTTTAAGTCTTCTCTTTTATATAAACACATTTTCAAAAATCTCCAGATTTAACTACTCTAAAATTAGATTACCTTGCTGCTTTTAATGTTTCTTCTGCAAGACCTTCTTCTTTTACTAGTTCTTCAAAATTTACAATATCTTCAAGGTCAGGCACAAATCTACATAAGAATTTGGGAAGAAATTTATCACAGCAAGTAAAATACAAGCAACTGACATGGATACTAAAGCAGTACTGTCCGATTCTAAAATTTTCAACTATGAATTTGGAAAGAACTTTTCATTTCAACTATTTCATATCACCACTTTATTTCATATCATCACCTTAGTTCCAATTAAATTTTAGATATAACTAATCAAACTTTAATCCTTAAAATTATATAATCTTTACATCCATTCATAAACCATAGCGATAAAATAAATTAATTATAACCTTAAAGGAAATAAATATTTTCAAAAATTTAAGGAGAAAAAAAAATCTAACTAGTAGAATTAAGTTTTCTTCCATATTTTATCTCAAAATATATCAAGAACAAACATCTTCTATGCAATATTAATTATAACATAGGTTTAAATGACATAATTTTTAAGTAAACAAGGCAAAAATGATGTTTGCATCCATACCTAATGGCATTGCTGCTACAATGAAGACCACCAGATCTTATCATTCGTACATAGCCCATAGCATTACCTTAAAAACCACACAAAAAAATCAGATATTTATATAAATAACTCTAAGCTCTAATAATCAGGAATAGTTATATACAGTAGTCAATTACAAGGTTTCCACTCTTAAGTGCCAATATATTCTGATATATTTTACTTTACATACATCTATGTTAAATATTTAAAAGTAAATATAACTCCTTCATTTGATAAATTAATTAAATGCTAACTATATTTAAAAAGTCAAACTTTTAAAATTATAACACCAATAATTTCTTCACTCTCACTGCTAAGAGTCTCACAAACACACATACGGGAAGTGATATCAGGAAATCTTTATCAGCTGCCTCCCAAATTTACATCTCCAGCCTGGATTCTTTCTCTGAACTCAAAGACTTTTTTATCCAATGCCTACACTACATGTCTAAGAAGTAATTTTAAATTTTTTTCTTTTTTTCTGAGTCGGAGTCTCACTCTGTCACCCAGACTGGAGTGCAGTGGCCGCTCCCGGCCACCGCAGCCTCGCCTGCTGGGCTCTGGAGATCCTTCCGCCTCAGACTTCCAAGTAGCTGGAACTACAGGCGCGTGCTACCACGCCCGGCTGATTTCTTATTTACTGTAGAGATGAGGTCTCGCCACGGGCTCAGGCAATCCACTCACCTCAGCCTCCCAAAGGCGCGGGATTACAGGCTGAGCCACCGAGCCCGGCTGAGTGCGGGCCCCCACAAATATGTCCAACTCAAACTCCAGATCTTTGTTCCTAATTCTGCCAATCACAGAAACTGGCAATCTGTCATTCCAGCTGCTCAAGCCAAATACTTTTAAGTCACCTGACTCCTTTCGTTCTCTCATAGTTTATATCCAATTGCTAGGCAAATTATGTTACCTCCACCTTGCAGATGCAGCCAGAATCACTACTTTTGCAGCTACCTCCTATTCCAATCCACCACTGTCTCTTGGCTGGACCACGGCAATATGCAATAGCCTTCTGGTTTCCCTCCTTCTACCTTTGGCATCCTTCCACACCCCCTGTGTTTTATCTACAGAGAAGCTAGTGAGTCTTTAAAACTAAGTTGGAGCATATCATGCCTTTCCTGAAACCTCTACAGCAGTTTTTCTACCTCAGAATAAAACCCAAATCCATTATGTGGTTGACACAGTCCTGCCATGACCTTGCCCCGTGCTGCTCTTCCTGCAGCATGCCTTGTCACTCGGGTCTTGACTAACTCCACTCAAGCCCGGACTGCTCCTCAAAAACACCATGCAGGCTCAGGGCTTTTGCACTTACTGCTGCCTCTGTCTGGTATACTCATTTCCTGGATACACACATGGTTTATTCCCCTATGTCTGGTCCCTGCTCAAATGTCACTTCCTAAATGCTTTCCCTGGACATCACTCCATTAACCTCTCCTTCCCCAGCACCTATGTATCCTTTTTTTTGTGCCTCCCCCCACCAAAGGACAAGATCCATAGGTACAATCTTTGTCTTCCTCACTGCTCCTTTCCTAGAGCCAACACGTCCTGGCATACAGTAGGAATTCAACATATAATTGAGCTTTATTGAAATACTTGGGAGAAAGAACAGCTAAAAAGGTAAAAAGCAATTAATATTTCATAATCACTACAGTAATATGTTTTGTATACATTATCTCATCTGAAGTTTTCATCAACCATTCACAGCACGTATCATTGAATCTATTTAAGACTTCTCCCAATATGAGAGATTGTTAATTTTTTAAATTATACATTGAGAAAAATCAAATGTCTATTTTCATTGTTTTCCTCCAAACTGTCAGACCAAACGAAGTCTGGTCAATCAAAATATGAGAGGCCAGTATAGGGTAGCGGTTAAGAGCAAATGCTGTGAAGCCAGACTACGTGGGTTCAAATCAGGATTCTGCCACTAGTTAGCTTTAAGACCGAGGCCAAATTACATAACCTCTTTTTATCTCAGGCTCCTCATCTATTAAATTAAGCTCCACAGGGGCAGAGACTGTTTACTGTCACATATATCACCGGCACCTAGAAGTATCTGTTGTCCTAAATAAGTACCTGTGGAATGATGAACGGAAATAGTACTCCATAAACTTTAGTGAGTTTCATGAGTTAAAATATATAAAGCACCAAGAACAGCCAGTGTACACAATAAACATTCAATAAATGTTAGCAGTTATTTCAGCAGGCAGACTTTTTTTTTTTTTTTTTTTTTTTGAGTTGGAGTCTCACTCGGTCGCCCAGACTGGAGTGCAGTGGCTGCTCCCGGCCACCGCAGCCTCGACCTGCTGGGCTCCGGCGATCCTTCCGCCTCAGCCTTCCGAGTAGCCGGAATTACAGGCGCGCACTACCACGCCTGCCTGATTTTTTGATTTATTGTAGAGATGAGGTCTTGCTGCCCGGGCGGGTCTCGAACCTGCGGGCTCAGGCAATCCACTCACCTCAGTCTCCCAAAGGCGCGGGATTACAGGCTAAGCCACCGAGCCTGGCTTAGCAGGCAGATTTTAAATAAAAACTACTTTTCATTTTGCTCCCAGAGCTGAGATTTACTCCTTCCTTTTCTCAAGATATTTAACAGACTTCAAAGGACATTGCAGTGTGTTATAAACAAAGGTGAAGACTTTATATTTTCTATGAAGAGAATAGAGAGTAAAATGCTGGATCAAAGTGAAAAGGATAATATTTCCCAATTGTAGATTGCATCCCAGTGGCAATCAAGATGACATCAGATGGCACAACAGAGAACATTTGTTTTGGTGGTTATTCTGATGTCAATGGGGGGCGGGGAATGGCTATGATACTAAAGCCTATTATTTAACGCTTGTGAAATCTTAGGGCAAAATTACACTTTCAAAAAATATGAAGACGTGAAACAAGTAACAGTATAAGAAGCATTCACATGATGCAAAATCTAAGGCATATGAATAAAGTTTAAACAACACTGCTCTAGGAGGACAGCTCTTAATTTGATGTCCAACAACCAGAGCTTTAGGCATGTGGACTCTAGTTCCTTCTATACAGAATTGTACATGCATGTACATATGGGCATTAGTTCTGGGGGAAATCACCCAGAGTTTTCTTCAGAGTCTCAAAAAGAGATAAGAACTACTGCTCCAGAAGTTTATCATCTAATATATCAAATGTCTCCTTGAAGAAACAGTACTTATTTGACAATACCTCATATTAAATGGGCTACAAAAACAAAATTACACATGTAAAATTTTCTAAGTTCTTATACTAAAACATAATAGAAATGTCTAATATGCAAACCAATTAATTGATAAAACTTAAGCCAGCATCTAGTGCCCTCCAAAACGAAATGCTGGAAACATCTTTCTCACTAGTAAATTTAAAGGCCCTTGAAAGCAAAGATGCTTGTATTCCCAAGTAGCAGAAAATTTAGCAAATGTTTGATAGATACAGGAATGAATCTCAGGAGGCATAATTTCCCTAAAATATAGTCTGTAAACCTTTACCACTGCTTAGTGTCAGTTACTATAAAGTGTGAAGATATGAAACACCTCTGGACTCAGAGCTAAACAACCCTGGCTTAAGTCCCAGCAACACCACTTAACTTTTCTCTGAGCTTCTCTATTTTCACTTTTAAAATGATGGATACATGCCTATCTCACAAGGTTACTGTGGAGACATTAATACAGATCACATATGTAAGAAGTTCAAATAAGTATAAAGTTTTGTGGCTGGACATGGTGGCTCATGCCTGTAATTCCAGTACTTTGGGAGGCTGAGGTGGGAAGATCGCTTGAGTCCAAGAGTTCCAGACCAGCCTGGGCAGCATAGTGAGAACTCATCTCTACCCCAAAAAAAAAAATTAGCCCAACATGGTGGCACACCCTGGAGTTCCAGCTACTCAGGAGGCTGAGACTGAAGAGTAATTTGAGCCCAGAAGTTTGAGGCTGTAGTGACCCATGATCAAGCTGCTGCACTTCAGCCCAGGGGACAGAGTGAGACCCTGACTCAAAATACATACTTACATACATACGTATATGAATACATACATAAATACATAAATGACTTTGTTACATTCTGCTTATTTTTAAATACAGTTCTTGCTTTTAAAATATAAGGTAGCATATTTCATCGAAAAAATATTATATATATTTTGAGTTGGAATCTCACTCTCTTGCCTATGCTGAATTGCAAGTGGCATGAGCACGGTTCACCGCAGCCTCAACCTCCTGGACTCGTGATTCTTCTGCCTCAGTCTCCTGAGTAGCTGTGCCTACAGGCATGCGCCACCACAACGAACTGATTTTTTTTATTTTTTAGAGACAAAGACTCACTATGTTCCCCAGACCAGCCTGAAACTCCTGGCCTCAAGTAATCCTCCCACCTCAGCCTCCCAAAGTGCTGGGATATAGGCATGAGCCACCACCACACTTGGCCTTAATTTTTTATCTTTAAATAAACTTACATGTAACTTATTAACTTAAATTATTAACTTTCCATATATTTCATACCTTCACATTTAGGTTGTAACTTGAGGGAACCTCTTCTGGAAGCCCAAAACAGTGCCTTGAAAGACTACGTATTCACTCAATAAGTACTTACCCATTGACTATTAATTATGAATATGATCTTTGAGATTAGTTATTAAATATTTTTTTATTTAATTGAGGATGTTTTACTTATAGTCTACAGTCTATAAATTATTTCCGCAGCAACAGTCTAATCATAGTTGGTAAGAAATTTGGTAAGAAAATTGCCCTCGTGGAATAAAGCTGAGCTGCAGCATTCACATATTAAGTTGTTTATTATTAAAAGATATTTAATATGAGATAGATTCTTAGGAATTGCACTTTATTTCCCAACACTGTTATAACAACTTACCAATTTGGCTGATGAGTTGCCTGAACTGATCAAGGTAGCTCTGTCCCTCTGGTGTTATTCCAAGTTTTCTGATGCCTCGATTGAATTTTTCTGCTCTATCAAAAGGATACTAGAGAGATAATTTTAGGACTGCCTTTAATAAAGACCCTAAAGCATAGAATTCCTACAAAATCAGCAATGCTAATACTACCCTACCCTCCTTTCTAATGCTGTTTTTCACTGTGCTTAAAAAAAAATCACTCAAGTCCAACGACAAAAAAATCTGTAGAAACAAAAACTACTAATGTCGAAGGTCAACTTTTAAATTAAATGTTTTTTCTTTTTGACATTAACTAAAGGGAATGATGATAATGCCACAAAAGCTAAGCCCCTTACCACCATTATTAGTCTCCTAACACCCAACTACTCTATAGATAGAAAATAGAAACCAGTTCCTCCCAGAAACATGTGTCCAAGTTTCTGTGGACTGAGTAGGCCTTAGGGGCTACTCAGTCCTTTCCAGTGAACAGACATCAGTTGGGTTAAAATTTCTAATTGTTATCACCATTAAAAAAAGACTTTTTCAAGTCTTGGTTTACGAAGATGCTGAGGAAATAATTCATTTTATCATAATAACAAAAGGAAGCAATTATTACACAACAGCATGGTTACAGTTATCTCCAAATATTCATAATTTTGGTTCCAATAAAAATGAGGCAGTTATATAATTCTCTACTGATACATGTAATCTGTAATTTTATGAGATGACACTACTAGCTTACTTTATTACTCTAAATATTTTGCTGCTCTGACGTTGAAGAGAACTACCAACTATTGAAAAGGGCTGGAACTAGATGAATCTTAAGTAATATTATTAAAATAGTTTCGTATGTGACAAATCAAATATAGAACCCATCTTAGCCTGTTGGGTCTCTATCCACATGGTGACACACCTCTACTGTCGTCACTTAACAGTTTAACCGGCTTTTTACTTTGCTACGTGAAAACTTGGCCTGGAGAGTGAAGGGAAAGCAGCATTCTTATAGGTTATTGGTAGGAATATTAATTGTGCAGTATACTTGGAGCACTCGGCGATATGTACCAGAATTTTAAAAGTTCATATACTTTGTCCTAGAAGTTTCTCTTCAAGGAACCCTTCTTTCAGAAGTAGTTTATAATTACACAGAAAAGGATGTTACTATCAACTCTTAGGAAGAAGGTGGTACATCTTTATGTACCGACATGTAATAAGCATACTGCAAAATCATATTTTTTGCTATAAAAAAGCAATGTATATTTATGTACAAATATATATGTTTCCCACACAGGTAACTGAAAGGCATCAAACTACATTGCTGAACAATAACTGTCTCCAGACAATAGAACTGAGAGGAAAGAAAAATGAGGGAGGATCTTTAGTTTATGCACTCTACACTGTTTAAATGTTTCAAAGTGAGCATGTACTGCTTCTCAATTATTTTAAAATAGAAGTAACACATGGTTAGACTGATCGTTTTATTTTTCCTTATGTGTAAGCCTACAGAGAATGCAAAGGGTAGGACATTGTAAGGGAAAATATAAGGAACGTGGAGGCAAAATCTAGGAGATGTGAAAAAACAATAAAGAAAACTAAAACCCCAGCAGAGATCTAAATAGCAAATTTTAGCTACACATTTGCTATATACTCAACAGCTAAGTCAAACTACCTTAAAAGAATATGCAGCATACCTTGTGATCATTTTGGTCCTTGATTTCTCTGAAAAATCGAATGTCTTTAATCAATCTGGATTTGATATGTTCATCATACATAAACTGGCTAAATATGTAGAACTTCTTTTTCAAAAACTGGTAGGTGAAATTAACCTATAAAATTAAAATTCAAAAAATTTTAAAGAGTTAATATAATTATTAAGTCAATGTTCTGAGTAACAATTATCTAAAAGTACTATTTTAAAAATCTAATTCATGTTGGACCTGACATTATTTAAATTTTTTTTACTGTCCAAGTTTAGAGCACTTTCTGTAAGCTCCTCATATATTTTTACTTAAAAGAGGGGGGGGAAAGAAAAAATAGAACATATTATCATGTTAGGACTAAGAACTGTGGTAAAAATCTCAAAAACAGACTCAAAACCCTAGTTTTAAACCCATAAACCACAGTCACAAGTTTCTATGTTCCTCCGTCAATAAGATTACATATAACTAGCCAGACCCAATCTGTAATCCCAGCACTTTGGGAGGCCAAGGCAGGAAGATTGTTGGAGCCTCGAAGTACAAGACTAGCCTGGGCAACACAGAAAGACCTCATCTCTACAAAAAAATTAAAAAATTATCTGGGCGTGGTAGTGCACGCCTGTAGTTCCAGCTACTCTGGAGGCTAAGGCAGAGGGTTCATCTGAGCCCAGGAGGTTGAGGCTGTTGTGAGCCATGATTATGCCACTGCACTCCAGCCTGGGTGACAGAGTGAGACCCTGACTCAAAACAAAACAAAAAGATTATGTATCACTAACCTACATGTTTAGAATGATATTAAAGAAACACAGAGCTTTTTAAACTTTCCTGAAGGAAGATGCTAAACATTCAACTGTTTGTCCATAAATATTTTTGAACACCTTTTCTGTACAAGGCAATACACAGAAGGCCAATGCAGAGGAAATAAATTTTGACAAACGTATGCCCTTTTTACTCAGTCTTCACTTACCCAGCTATAGAAATGGGTGCTTTCTCAGAACGTATCTCACGGCTTAAACAATTGTACCTGCCTTGCTTTTTCTATTTTTTTGGCTTTTTTCTTTATCTCTTTTGCAGTCTTTTCTTTATCCTTCCCACTCTTACTGGCGGGTAACTCTGCCACTCGCTGACTCTCGTCCTCCTATGCGCACTTCACCATCAACAGACATTAGTAACCTACATTCATTAGTGTCTATATCCCTGTAATGATCACGAGAATAGGGAATGTCTGTTTTTCTCATGCTAATGCCCCCAGCACAGTACCTGAGAAAGTATCCATTACATGAAAATTTGATAGAGGTCAAGAAAGAGTTTATCTTCAAAAGTTCAGGTTATTTATCCTCAAAGGTTCAGACGTTATCCCTACATGGATGACTCATTTTAAATTTAAAATCCTATCTATGTCTGATTTCTATATTGGTAACCACTAAAATGAAGCTCCAATCACATCACTCATCAGGTAAAAAACTTCAATACTTTTCCCCAATGTATACTAAAATGATGGCAACTTAATTTTCTACTCTTCCCCCATTCCTCACTCCAATCTATTTAACAATATTGTAGTGTTTAAGCATTCACTTTCTTCTCCCCTTAAACAGAAATTAACTACGCCCTGAAAACCAGGTAAATTAAAAGACTTCTCTTTTTCTAGAGATAAAAATAGCCTGTGTGTTCAAATAGTTCCCCCAAGTGACTAAACGTCCACTTCTAAGAAAATGCAAAAGATGTGCAGTAAGTTCCTATTTAAATGGACATCAAATAATTAGTAGCTCCTCCCAAAAAAGAGCATAAAAAATAGTAAATAAATATCAATGATGTCCTTTCAAAAGTAATTTACAAAGTGCGCCAGAGAATCAACACACACACACACACACACACACACACACACACACACACACACCCTCCCACGCCAACATCCTCAAATCTCTTATGCTTTTTGTAATGATGGTTCTGAGCTGGTAAGATATCCTAAAAAGTGGCTTTTATATCACTTTTTATTTTAAAAATTATCCCATCATATTCAAGATAATTTAGTGCCCATCATATTCAAGATAATTTAGTGCCAGATATTTTTAATTATACCAATCAGATAAAATGAAAATTAAGGTAGAATATAAACTGGTAGTATATGTTTACCAGAACACTCTATGAAAAAACAATCTCCCAAACTATGAAATTAAACAGGAGTTTATTACCCACCCAACCCCCAAGGAAAGGTTCTTACTGTTGTATTCATGATTCCTGTGCCATGTGTTCGAATTGAATTAGCAATATGCCGAATATTAATAGTATTCAAGTGCTTGTTATTGCTTGTTCGCTCAATAAAAATCTGAAATGAAACAAATTTATACTCAATAACAACACAATCTATAACAAACACTGATCAGTTATCCAAAGAAAATTTTAGAATTTATTTCATTAAAGCGAATTTCATAGACACGCTATTCAAGAAGACAGTACAGGTTGAGCATCTCAAATCTAAAAATCTGAAATTCAAAATCTAACGAGTATTTCCTCTGAGCATGATGTCAGTTTTAGACTTTGGAGCTCTTCAGATTTTGTATTTTCAGATTAGGGATGCTGAACTGGTAAGTATAATGCAAATATTCTAAAATCCGCCCCCCCCCAAAAAAAAAAAAATCTGAAACACTTCCAGTTCCAAGCATTTCAGATAAAAGACACTCAACCTATACAATCAAAGCAAAGGGAAAAGTATCTTTCTTGTTTTTTTTTTCTTTTACTAATTTTCACCCTTTAGAATCAATTCCAGCTCCCTCAGCTTTCCCACTATATATCCACCCAAGTTAGAAAACATTTCTAAAACCCACTCACCTGATTGTTGAGATTATAGAGGTATCGAGACACAAATATATGAATGTTTCTCATAATTTCCAAAACATCAAGGCCCTACAATATAATCCATAAAGGAGTTCTATTACTATTAATTTAAAGACTCAGTTAAATTTATATCCATGTAGTGATTTACTGATTATACTAAGTTTTCTAATATTTTAAAGTTATTTTAAGGAACTATATAAAAGGTATGATCAAAGGTTAAAAGACATGTGCAATCAGGACTATCTTCTTGGGGAAACCTGGAAACTTACTATATTATCCTTTTGTGTAGACAGGAACAGTTAAGTTTAACTATTCAAAGATTCATGACCCACAATCATTTCCCTACCATCCTTGAGAATATTATGTCTTCCAAGGATCCTTTCTACATTTTTTTACAAAGTAAACTAATGACCAGATTCTAAAAGGTAGTCAAGATATGTTGTGACATTTACAAAACATGTACTATTTTTTCAGGTATTTGCAGGGCTCTTTACATACAATTCTAACCCAGGCTCGGTGGTTCAGCCTGTAATCCCGCGCCTTGGGAGGCTGAGGTGAGTGGATTGCCTGAGCCTGCGGGTTTGAAACCCGCCTGGGCAACTTGGCGAGACCTCATCTCCACAATAAATCAAAAATTAGCCGGATGTGGTAGCGCGCGCCTGTAATTCCAGTTACTTGGAAGGCTGAGGTGGAAGGATCGCCGGAGCCCAGCAGGTTGAGGCTGCGGTGGCCGGGAGCGGCCCATGCATTCCAGTCTGGGCGACAGAGTGAGACTCCAACTCAAAAAAAAAAAAAAAAACCAACAACAACAACAAAAAATACATACAATTCTAAAAAAAAAAGAGGTATTAGTCTGCAAAATTCCACAGGTGAAGAAAATAAAGCTAACAGAGTTTTTTCTGAGGTCAAATGGCTAGGAAGAAGCAGAACCCTGGGGTTTAAGAAAGTCTAATTCCAAATTGTATGCTTTTTTTGATCACACCAGACCACTTGTAATACAAAACTTATCTATTAAAATAATTTTAAGAAATGAATTAGGGCCCAAAGCAGCACCAGAATACCTCTTTGATTATGCTTTTATTATAGCCTTTATCATGTTTTAATCTAAATATTTGCTTACACATTTTCTCCCACTAGACTGCAAGTATATGAGCTGGGTCTGCTTCTATTTATTTTTGTATCTGTAAACATAGTCCAGTGCCTGGCATGTTCTCAATAAATATTAGATGTATAAATAAACGCATGAAAAGATATACAAAGTGATCCCAGAAATAATCCTTACATGCAGCAGGATAAAGGAAAAATTATAATTCAAAAATTCTAGAACTGAAAAAATGTTTTTTGATAAATATTATCTGGATTATCTTCGAAAGAATTCACACAAATTAACTGATAACATAAACTGCTACACTCATGAGATACTGCCATATTGTAAACTAGCTAATTGAATTAGCAAAGCTAACGTTTTCTTGTACTCCTCCCTTTTAGAACAAATACATTTGGGCCAAGCATGGTGACTCATGCCTGCAAACCCAGCACTTTGGTACGCCAAGGACAGAGGATCACATGAGACCAGGAGAGAGAGACCAGCCTGGGCAGCAGAGCGAAACCCCTATCTCTACAAAAAATAAAAATAAATAAAAAGCAGCCAGGCATGGTGGCATGCACCTGCAGTCCCAGCTATTCAGGAGGCTGAGGCAGGAAGAGTGCTTGAGCCCAGAAATTCAAGGCGGCAGCGAGTCATGATTGTTCCACAGCTCTCCGGCCTGGGCCACAGAGGCAGACCATGTTGAAAGGAAAAAGAAAAAAAGAACAAATATATTTATAATCATATAAATCTCATCATTTTCCTAAGAGATTAAATTGTATTACAGTGCCCAAGCTTGAAATCCTCACCTGTGACCTTCTTACAATTCTGCAGAAGTCACTTCATTATCCTGTTTCTGAAAAGCTGTATATAAACCCACATGTATGTATTTCAAATTTTCAACAGAAGGCTGAGTATAAGCAAGAACCTGTGGTAAATTCTTTCACAAAGTAAGTTAGTAGAATCTAATTTTTTATTCTTGTGAAGTATGAGATTTTATATAGCAGACAGCTTCTTAAAAAATATATTCTAAATGAAGTGAAAAGAAAAAAGGTTTCCTAAAAAAATACAATTATGCTACAGACTATATATAGCTTTTTAAATTGGAAACATTTATACTATACCTGTTCCAAAGTCTGACTAGGAAGATGTGCCTCTGTCATAGCCAGTCCGTAACGCTGAGTAGCTAAATTTCTCATTTCACTGTAAGTAGCCCAGTCATGAAGAGCTACCGTTGTTAAATTGTAGAAAGTCTTGTCTAGGTAGTGAGTTACATAAGCTACAAAAAAAAAAAAAAATCCAAAAAATTTATGATTCATGAAACAGTAGAAAAAAGAATTTGTCTTTGAATATCAAATGTTTTCCTTTAAAATAAGGTGCCAAGAAATAAAAACGAGGAAACAAAAAAACTAAAGAATAAACAAATACAAAAAAGATATACTTTAAAGGTTTGTTTTACTAGTTTTTTTTTTTTTTTTTTTTTTGAGTTGGAGTCTCACTCAGTCACCCAGACTGGCATGCAGTGGCACACTCCTGGTCGCCGTAGCCTAGACCTGCTGGGCTCCGGTGATCCTTCCGCCTCAGCCTTCCAAGTAGCTGAAACTACAGGCGCGCGCTACCACGCCTGGCTAATTTTTGATTTATTGTAGAGATGAGGTCTCACCAAGTTGCCCAGGTGGGTCTCGAACCCGCAGACTCAGGCAATCCACTCACCTCAGCCTCCCAAGGCACGGGCGGGATTACAGGCTGAGCCACCGAGCCCAGCTTAGTTTTTTTTTTTAAGCAGGATTTATTGAGGGGACAGAAAAGCTCCCACAGTGGGAGGGGACCCGAAGGGGTGCCCTGTTTTGCTAGTTTTTTAAAAGTTAGAGTAAAAAATATAGAATATGACTCTAAAAAGGAAAGCAGAACACTCACCTCGAATGTCAATGAAACGATTGAAAAATCGAATTGGATTCAGAGAGAAAAAAAGGGCCAGGTCTTTCATGCCAACTTTGAAAGGGTTTCGGTCATCCAGCTTTAAATGAGTATGCACAGAAAGTCGCAGATCTTTCTCTATTTCTTTGCACAACTTATCCAGCAAATGCTATTCACAAAAGATTTGATACTTTAATTTTTCAAAACATTCTGACTATATTGTTTCCCTACATATCACTTTGATCTTTAGCATTTTATCATCAGTGTACTGATTTTTAAAAAATGGTCACACTGATTTTGTTACTCTGTGATAAAATCTTATTTTTTAATAGGGAAAGTGAAGATTATATTGCTCTCCATTTTAAAACCAATATATTTTTTCAGTCAGGGGCAGTTATATAAATTTTAAGTCTTGATTTTCATTAATGCTATAAGTTTTATACCCATGAAAAGAAAATCTAAAACTAATGACTGATGGCTTCATTATACAAAACATGAATATGCAACTTAAAGCATAAAATTTATGGAAACCAGCAAGAAAGGCGCCAAAGTCATGAGAACATGCAAAAGGGAAAGAAAAAAAATTCCTTGTAATACTTATTAACAAATCACAAAATTCACTGTACTAAAAGTAATAAAATTAATCATCTATTCTGGTCTACATGGAGTTCTATATTATTGGCCAGACATGTATCTTATTTTCCAAACAAGCATATTTAACACAAGAAATTATAAAAATTTTTCATAATTTCCTCAAAGTAGGTTTATATTGTGAAGTTTACTCATTTTTAATTCCTCCCTACAAATAAAAACACTAAATGGAAATCCCATTTTAAAGATATCAGTGTTTATAATGCATACTTCAATTAAAACAGAGGGGGCATACATACTGAATTCAAATTATTTATGTTACACAAGTAAGTCTTTTAAATATATAATTTCCTCCTCTTAGGAGCTCTCCAAATAAAATTCAATAAAGTAATAGTTAAGTTGCCTTAACTGTACCATTAGCAGAACTCAACATTCAAACCAATTTCACATTTGCCTTCTTCTAGTAAACAAATTTAAATAAAAATAAACTACTTACTAAAGTAAATTCAAAATTTTCGAATTCCTAGTCTTCGTTTTAAATAAAATTAGGAATTATAGACCAAGTAGCATAACAGTGATATTATAACTAAAAATAGTTCCTTTGTTCTATTTATTCATAAATAATTTTAACTCAGTGAAAGTCTGCTTCAATCTAAAACTTTCTTCCAAACACTGCATCCCAAAAACATGTTTTAATCTTTTTTATCTCAAATATGATGTTACCTCATTTAAAATTTCCATAATTTCCTTGTCATAGCAATCCAGAAGTATCTCATAGGACTCTAAATGCCTTGCATGCATCATAGCAGGTACACAGTCGCGTAAAGCACTGAACATGTACTAAGAAGAAAATTAAAATGTATATAAATTTAGAAAAGCTGTATCTTCAATCTAAACAATATTATAAAAGTTAATTATCTATCTAAAAAGACAAAACCTCGATCTAAAGGAAAAATGATTTTCCACATGACCATCCTACTTTCCTAAATAAAAAGAGCCTAAAGCATACACTTAAATATACAAAAAACTCACATTCACTAACCCTTTTCTATCTTGTGCATTCAAACACACTTACTTCCATAAAAAGAAAGAAAGCTTTGAATAATGTAAACTTTGCTGATGAGTAAATGTCAGATTATGACAAAGTAAAATGAAGTGAAATGAGAATGATGAGGAACATGAGTATCAGCTTCATTAGGAGAAACATAAGATTTAGCTGCGGACTATCAATGCTTACTGGATATGCATAGCATTTTACAAAACAGCATTAGTAGTCAATTTAAAAATTGTTAAATCAAATGATCTATCCTAAAATGATTTATACAGTGACTAGAAAAATGATGGGCTTAATTTTTGTATTATTCTTTACTTACATGTAATCTGGCTGCATCAACAGCATTTTCATATACATCATCTAAATAAATTGGGAAGACAGCTCGATGCCAGTATAAAAAACAACAGTCACACTGTGTTTGGACTCTACAATGTAAAGCAGTAATTAGCGACACCAAAACTAAAGAATCCCAAAACAATATTAAAGGAATGACATCTACTACAAGACTAAGAGTTCTGTCTTACCCATTTTGCATTCCCTACATCACTTAACCCAACATTAGGACAGAAAAGTCACAAAATAAATATTATTCAAATTGAATAAAGGTAACAAAACACTCCCAATACCTGACACTGTCAGAACTCTGCACAAATGCTTTTACTTTAAAGCATACTCAAAAAACAATATTTAAAATGCTTTTAAATAGATGAGTTTAAAATAAATTTATTTGATATCATTTACTATCACTAGACTTATAAGACTTGTATCACATGCATTTTACCTGTTTCCAAGTAGGGAACCAAAACCTTTTTAAAAACTGTGAACAAAACAAAAAAGCAAACAAAAAAACCCTAGTCACACTTAACATGTCTATAATCTTTGCCAAGTGACTATTTTACATATGGGCAACAAAATGATGATTAAACATCTTACAATGAAGAAGTTTCACTGTTTTCTTCCAAGAATGGAAAGTTAAATGCCACTAACTACAAAAATGTCAGCATCTCAAAACAACAAAAAAGCATTAAGTTATAAATGAGCATTAAACGGAAATTGTGCTGTTAACATCAATTCAGCTGAGAATCAAAATTCAGAAGACCTATCTTCCCTTCAAAAAACCTACTGCTTATTCAATAAGAAAAACAATAAAGTCACAAGTAGCTACAAAAATAAGCCTTCCAAAAACCAATTCAACTTAGTGACTGGCTATGGACAATGTAATTCAAGTTTTTATCTCATAATATTACACCACACGACGTGTTATGGATCTCTAAGTCTCTCATAAACAGATGAAGCCTTGTTACAGCAGCAGTTTAAGTTCAATAGAGATACCTAACATAATCACAATATGCATCGGAGTCTGCCAAATGCTCTAAGGTTACAATGCTTTTCTCATGTGAGCTCTTTCAGAAGCTACACACTTCCTGTAAATTAATTATTATCCCTAGTCACAATCTCATTTTGGTCATGTTAAAGAAGTTATAGAAAGAAACTGTTCTGGATTTCATTTCTTCTCTTGCTATGCTAAAAAGAAAATCAGTGTTTGTATTAACTGTGCCTTTAGAGTATCACTGCATATCTCCATCCTTCTTACCGTTCTCTAAGTTCACTGATAAGATCCAGTTTTTTCATGACTACTTGAAGTGGAAAGAGTTCTTCATCTTTAAATGTTTTCTATCAGGGAGGAGAAAACAAGGCAGAGAAGTTGCAATCTAAGTAAAGACAGGTTTCTTGGGTCAATAGCAAAGGAACTATGAAATCTCGTACCTCATTTTTATTCCATAAATAACAGCAATTCACTTACCAGTTGTGTGCCAACACTTAGTGCTAAAGAAACAATAAGTCGTCGTTGCTTAGTGCTTGGTCCATTTAGAGTGTTTTCAGCCAAAACTAGGGCAGAGAGCACATCAAGACGCTGTTCGCTATATTTTTTGTCAGAAATTACTCTTTTCTTAAAAGAAAAAACAGAAAAGTATTAGTTTTGCTTCTGAGACAATTACAGAAGACTTACGAGAAAAACTTCTTGATTACCATTTCCATGATTCAATTGAAGAGAGCATACACAAGTACTTTCCCTGTTGAACTTCTGATTTTTTTTTTTTTTTAAGAGACCAGCAGAGTCTCACTCTGTATCACCCAGGCTGGAGTGCAGTAGCACAATCACAGCTCGCTTAACCTCAAACTTCTGGGCTCAAGCAATCCTCCTGTCTCAGCACACCACCATGCCTGGCTAATTTTTAAAATTTTTTATAGAGATGGGGGTCTCACTACGTTGCTCAGGCTGACCTTAAACTCCTGGCTTCAAGTGATGCTCCCACCCTGGCCTTCCAAAGTGTTGTGATTACAGGCATAAGCCACCATGCCAGCCTGGATAATGTTTTATACTTCATTCTCTAACATTATGTCTTAGCACTGTCGGGAACAACAAATGTATTAAGCATACTTTAAAATTTCCATATTAATTTAACAACATATCATTTCCAAAAAAAGTGATGTATCAATTTCAACAGCACAAACAATGTAATTTTTAAAAGAGATGTATTAATGTATTATATGCTACAATTTCAAAGTAAAGATAACTGATAACAATAAATTAAAAACCATAAATATCATGGAGAGAAATGACCAAGAATATTATGTTTGAAGGAATGGCGTAAACAGGCTAAACTAGAAAACACATCTAAAACAACATAAGAACAAACAAAAAAGCCAGCATAATTATGCAGAATACATAATAATTCATATACCTTGGCCACAGAAATAGAATTAAGAGCCTGATGTTGAAGGTGCTGTGTTATATGTGAAACTGAATCAGCCACAACCATGCTT